GTAGCTTCTTGTTACTACTAGTAAGGCCAGGAGCCCCTAGTAGCTTCTTGTTACTAGAAGTAAGGCCAAGAGCCCCTGGTAGCTTCTTGTTATTAGTAGCTTCTTGTCACTAGAAGTAAGGCCAGGCGCCCCTGGTAGCTTCTTGTTACTCGTAGTAAGGCCAGGAGCCCCTAGTAGCTTCTTGTTACTAGCAGTGAGGCCAGGACCCCTAGTAGCTTCTTGTTACTAGTAGGGCCAGGAGCCCCTGGTAGCTTCTTGTTATTAGTAGCTTCTTTAAGCTGTGGGCTCAACCTTCCAGTGGTAGGCTTGTGCGACTGAGCCCGTCGGTTCCGCGTCATGTCGTTTCCATGGTGGCTGGAAGCGTTCCAAGACTCCCTGTCTGGCATGCATCCGGGCGAAGGTGGTGGGTCCTTCGATGGTTTCCACCAAGGTTCAAGGTCTTTTGATGGCCCTGGTGAACCATGGTTTTGGCCTGAATGAGGAGATCACAATCTTCAATGGTTGGCTCACTCAGGAGACTTCCGACCGGGTGCACTACAAGATTGAGGTCATCCAAGCCACTCGAATTGTGCGCCTTGGTACTTTTCAGGCAGATCAGGTCGTGGAGCTTTGTTCTGGCTTAGGTGGCATGTCAGCGGCTGCCAGTGCCTTGCATCTGTGCAGTATGGCTGCATGGATCACTCACCGCTGGCCATTGCTGCTTGCCGGAGGAATCATGAAGGGATTGCCTTCCAGGGTGACATATGCAACCCTGAGGATTTGGCAAGTCTCTTTATTTTGATGAAAGGAGTCAGCACGGGTTTCATGTGCGGTTTTCCATGTCCTCCTTTTAGTGTCATGGGAGACCAAAAAGCCTTTCGGGATAGTCGATCAGAAGTGTTCGTTGCTGCGCTCAACGCTGCATTCCTCTTCAACTCGGCCTATGTGATTCTGGAGCGCACGCCTACGACTGGCCAGTACCGTGAAGTGCAGGATCTTTTATGCTCCTTTGCCCAGGCCATGAACTTTGAGAGCAGGCAGCAGATCCTTCCGTCTTTCTGATGTATGGCCTTGTCAGAGAACTCGATGGTGGTGCATTCTTGTTCCAGCTTCCGCAGCTCCTCATATCAGCATTTTGCCTTCCTTGCCGAAGTTTCCTCACCTTCAGTCGGTTGGTGATATCTGAGGAAGAAGCCTTATCATGGACTCAGGAAGAAACAGACTTTGATCCTCGAGAACCATGAACTACGACAGTCAGGCACATGTCCGACTCTTCTTCACAGCCTTGGACATCATCTTCTTGCTTGTCCTCGCGGCTGTCGGCATCAGGGACTCAGCCACGAACGCTTGATTCGGGATGGAGTTGCACTCACCATGCTTCCGTCCACCTTCTCGGCCAATCACTACCGTCATTTGCATCCACGTGAGGCAGGATACCTACGCAGTCTTCCAGCAGACTTCAACTACAACTTGGCCCAGACCAGATCCGATTTGCCGCTCATTGGACAGACTGCTGCGCCTTTACAGACAATTTGGGTCCTTCTTCACACCTTGCGACCACTTCAAGTTCTTGGACTTGGACCTTGGCAGATCAACTTCGAAGATCCCAATGAGGTCCTTCTGTCCTACATCAACACCAATCTTGAAGTTCGCAAGCAGCTGTGGCCGACTTGTGAACATCGGTATCCACAAGAAGTTCACTTAGAGGAAGACAACGCTTCCTTTTCCGTCCTGGTTGACCCCATGACCTCCGTGCAGCATTTTTTGCACGCTCATCAACAGTTGCTTGGCTGGGCTCATCGCATCACGCTCTACCGAGATGGCATTCCTCAGCTTCCAAACGCCCTTCTGCAGAGCGGTGCCTATCAGATCGTGGTCTCTCGGCCAACATTCTCGACCAGCGCCCACCGACCTCATCTCTGTCAAGTTGCGCGATGGAGTTGCTCAGTATGAATTCCATGGTCATGCAGGAACTCGCCTTTCCACTGTCCTGGAGACTCTTGGGTTTCATTACAAGCCAGGCATTGAATTCTGCAATCTTTTTCGGAGTTTTCGATGGGGAGATACTCTCTGGCCAAATCAGGGTGAAGTTCGAGGATTGGGACTCGATTCGCCTTCGGCCACTGGCGTTCATCACTTTGATGTCTATGAGGAGCTCCATCAAGTTCTCCAGTTGTATCACTGCTACGGATCATCTTCGGTCGGCAGCTATGCGAGCCTTGGGTTGGGATCGGGCAGGAGCGAGTCCTCACATCAGATGGTCTCTCATGCAAACGCGGTTGAACTTTTGGCCACCGTCCAAGATGGTACTTTCTTCACTTCGCAGGCCAAGGCGCACTTTGATGGAGAGCATTCGGGGCTTTGTCATACATGCCACGTGCCTGACACTGTCACTCATCGAGCTCTTCATTGCCCTGATTACCAAGAAGGTATCCAGCTGAGGTTCGTCTTTGGCCGCAGAGATTTGTCGCCTTCACTCATGGACTACATCCGGCGAACCCCCACCAGTGGACATACTGGAACGCTTTGCTGAGCTTACCTGACCGTCGGGAGGAGTTCTTGGATTTGAAGGTTTGGGGCGACCATACCTTTATTTTCACAGATGGAAGCTGCTCCTCGCCTAAAACGCCTACCAGAGCTTTGGCGGCTTGGGCTGTGACTACGATGGAGCCGAAACGCACCTTGGCACAAGGACCCGTTCCTGGTTTGATCCAATCCATCGACATTGCAGAGGCCATGGCCGTGCATGCAGCCTTCTTGTGGGTTCTTCGCGCGGGCGCTTCTGCTACCATTTTCACGGACAGCCAATATGCTTTGGACCATTTCAGGTACTTGCAGAAGCACCATGATGTTCCCTCCAGATGGAAGCATCAAGGCCTCTGGCAACAAGCTTTGGTCACCGTCAAGCAGATCGATTATGGCCGGAACACTTTGCGAAAGATTTCCTCACCTTGTTGATGAGGATTGCGCTTCTCCCCATGACTGGAGTCGGATCGGCAACGACTTCGTGGACATGATAGCTAAGTGGCAGAACCAGCTTCGTCCTGCGGAGTTCCTGCAGATCTGCAAGAATTTCTGCTCTGTGGAGGAAAGTGCTCGCAATGCCACTCGGTCTCAACTTAGTTTCTTGGTCGAGCTTGCCCAGACGAGCTTGTCCTTGTCAACTGAGAGCCATGACCCGGAAGGAATAACCTTGAATGAGTTGGGAGCCGACTCGGACTCGAAGGCAAATGATGCCTCGTTGGCTGCCCAGTTTGGCCCGGAATTCTTGAGCCATTCAATTAGTGTAGGCAAGTTTTCTGCTCGCCTGGTGGGTGATTTGGTTTCATGGCTCATTGCGGTTGATCTTACTTCTCCCTGTAAGTTTCATGTTTCTCTGCTTGAGTTGGTCATCGGGTTTTGTTTCGATGGACATAGTTTCCCCCTCACTGAACACCAAGCGGATGGTTTATTTTTGGCTCGGCTGAAGTGCCCTGCGGTGGTCTTGTTCGACCTACTCTTGCTACTGAGCTTGCTATTTTCAGTGACCTTTTTCGACTTGTTCAAGAGCACTTTCAGCTGGGCTTGGACACTGGCCTGAAGGCACGTCCGCATCTTCGAGTCTTAGGAGGATGCAATGTGTCTGTTTGGGTTGGGGTGGTGACTTAGCCACTAGAGTGTCGACTGAGCTTTTGCGGTTTACATTCTCCTGGCCGATTCGATTTGCCAGGGATCTGGCGCGACCTCGATGAGGTTTGGGGCGTCGCTAGTTGACACATGGCCGCTTGACCTCTGAGCCACCATGTGCCGTTCGACTTCGTCGACCGCGCGTGAATAAATATTAGTACCTTCTTGTCACTAGAAGTAAAGCCAGGAGCCCCTGGTAGCTTCTTGTTACTAGTAGTAAGGCCAGGAGCCCCTGGTAGCTTCTTGTTACTAGAAGTAAGGCCAGGAGCCCCTGGTAGCTTCTTGTTACTCGTAG